TCTGATCAGATAGATTTCGCTAGTGGACAGTAGATCAAAATTTTCTCACTACGTAGCGCTAGAATACACGTGAAATTCTCACATGTGGCTTGTTTCGTGATCCAGACAGAAAGTTACTGTCTTCGACAAAGTTTTTCAGGAGGTCAAAGCCTTTTTGGCTGCTAAACAGTAGTTAAGAATTTTCTCACCACGTGGCGTTAGTATTCATGTACACTTCTCGCATATGCTATATATCAATCTTCATTTAGACAACAAAAGTCCGATGAAGAGAATAATAAATAAATAAATAAATAAATAAATAAATAAATCACGAGATCCTGATGAAAGTTACTGTCTACGACAAAGTTGTTCAGGAGGTCAAAGTATTTTGGCTGGTGAACAGTAGTTCAGAATTTTCTAACAAATTCTAGGCTTTAGCCTCCTGAACGAGACGAGAATTTCACATTTCACATAGTGAGAAATTGTTGAACAACTGTCCACGAGCAAAAATTTTGTGATATCCTGAACAACTTTGCCGACGACAGTAATTTTCTATCTGGTCAAGAACTTGAGATATTTTATATGCGAGAATGTCACATGTATACTAGCACCATGAAGTGAGACAATTCTGCACTACTTTCCACCAGTCAAAAGACCTTGACCTCCTGAACAACTTGCAGTAACGCAGACAGTAACTTTCTATCTGGTCAGGATCTCGAGATATAGCATATGCGAGAAGTTGTAGCCGACACTTGCCGATCTCGGTTAAGCCTGCGGCTTAAGCGCCACTCCGGTAAAGGAGACCGCAGGCCACGTTGAGTTTGCCCGGATGAGACTGCCCCAGGGCGAGTCCAAGGGAAAATCTTCCTAAAAAGAAGAGATCGAGCCAGCTTGACTACTACCGAATTTGATCGATTAGAAACCTCTATTTCGAAACAGCATAATCTCTCACAACATCGAAATAACTCCAAAAAGCTCCCGGTAAGAGAATACACAAACCCTAAACGACGTTCCACGTCCAGTTCTCTAGAGTCGGTGTATAATGAGTCACGCCAAGAGTGAAGCCAAGTCTACCTATCGAACTGTCAAACCAGCTACCTATCGTGCAAAGTAAACAAACATTACGATGCTATGAAAGGTCAACGAAAGGTATTACAATAAAATATAAAATATAATCGAAGAAATGATAATAAACACGCAGTGAGCATTCAATTGTCATGGGATACGTTTGGTAATAATCAGTAATAAGAATTTCTACTATTTTTTGTAAAGATAATTTGACAAAATCACTGATTTAATGATTTACTACAGCCGCTATTATTTTTTCTCGCTAGAAGTCATTTGAAGTTGATGTAGAAGTCCTCTGTTGCCTAGTTAAAAGAAAGAGAATCTTTCGAAAACCGTGATGCGAGTTCAACTGTTTTTCTCTTGGCGTGACTCATTATACACCGACTCTACAGTTCTCCTCATCGGTAGTTTCCCTTAAATTCCGCCAGAGGCGCAGCTGCAGTAAAAGAGGTACGCAACATAACAGTCAAATTCCGACCACGCGGAAGACAACAACATAATTAAACGGATCCGAAAACAACGTAAAGATACTTTTTTCCTCTCATTCTAATCTTTGATAGGACTGATCAACAACATTACATCAATTTCAAATCACACATTTATTTCACAACGGAAAACGGTAAGTTGAGATTTTATTATTGACTAAAGCATGCTTTTACGAAATTTCCATTGTTTGTATATTTTCCTACTCCTCTTTATTCTATTTCTCTATCTAGTCCTATTATTGTGTGCGTAACTACCTATCTGGGCTGTGCTCTTGTGTCTCTTCCTGATGAATCCCACGACGATGCAGCAAGCGGGGAACGGCAAAGCTTGGCACCCGGGTGTCTAACATTGATGGGTTGGGTGAGCATCCATGTATGACGTTACGTGCGCACGTTTGTCTTGCCGACACCCAACCTTACAATTCTTGGACTTCTCCAAATGTTAGCAATTCATGCTCTTCGACCTTATGGTCGGCAAAAAATGTCCTCCGTGGCGCCCTCGCCGGACGCCACACTCAACGAAAAAACAGAACGGACTCACCAGTTGGTTTAGCTGCTGATGATTGGCGTCTTGCAGTGAAACTTTTCCATGCTTTCGCCACCTACATTTCGAAGTGAGAACTACTAGAAGGAGGATAGTTTCCAAATTCTTCAATTAAAACAGACGATTTTTGGGGCAAATCGGTACATAAAGAAAAACAAATAATTTCCCGTGGAAACTTTTGCTTGAATCGTGTAAGAAAATGTGTTTGCAAACTAACTGTTATTATTTCGGTATGGATCGGAGATGTTTTCATGGAAAATTATGCATAACAAGTTTGCACCCACAGGGAGAGGTTACCTCCTGCGCAGCGGCATTTTTCGGAAAATGGTGAATATGTGCGATTTCCACTAGGATGAAAGTGGAAATTAAGTGAATTTACTTAGGAAAGGTTGTATCATGCTGATGGTAATGGAGATTGGTTGTATAGGACGCCAATATTCAATAAATGTTCATTTTGGCCTTTTGTTAGCAAACATATTGATGCTCACCATTTTCGACGGAAAACGCAACGGAACTTGCTTTACTCAACACGCACCATACTATAAAATGGTGCTAGATGGTCTTCAAAGTGATAGCAAGATGACAAATCATCTCTATTTTGAGTAATTGAGCAATTTACTTCTGTTTACATAATATTTACGATGCAGCATTGTTAGAGCCGCGAAATGAAATGAATATATCTTATGAAAGTTCAACTGGAAAAGTCAAAGTTGCACATCAGTCTGATCGTAAAAACGTTTTCTTCTGCAATTCGAATGTTATATTGGAAGAATTTTACACAGGCTTGATGAAAATTATGATTTAACGCTAATTTTCACGAATTTTATATGCAGTCTGTCAACATTATCATCATCATGCAGTGGCGACATCTGCGTTGAGCTTTTACGGCAATCTTCCAATTGCTGCGCTGCTGTTACTGGCGCGGCGACGATGCTACTTCGATCGATGCGCGTTCGACCGTTGGTGTTGAACGGCCAACGATTTCCACATGAATGGATGAACCACAAAGCCCCGCTCAGCGATGTAGATGCGGATCGCTTTCCACCGGACAAGGTGACGGTTGCCGGGATTATTCGCACCGGGGATGCAGATGCTGGCGTTGGAAGCGTAAACGTAGCCGTCGGCTGGTGAAAAGAATATTAAGCACAATGCACAGATTTCTTTTAACGAGCACATTACCTGGTCTAGCTTATTTTTCGCACACACAAAGTCTAGCCTAAGACGCACACTACGAATTGAAGTATAAAAGTACAGCCACGTTGCTTTAACTCACTTTATAAAACGAAACAATCACGCGAACAAAACGAAACACTTCCACTGCAATCTGCGGTTCGGACGAAAGTGAAGCGAAACCGTGACTTCAGATTAGGGAAGGTGACCTCGGCCGAACTTAACGGAAGTTCGATTTTCCCGCGAACTTCTTCGAACGAAATCGGTAATGCGAGAGATTATTCCGATCGCTGGTCCTTCGTTCAAAGTCGGGTGTAGCCACACTCTCTCTTTTCCCAACTTTCCCGAAGATTTCACTGGACTCGGCCTTGGGAGAAATTGTACAAGGTCGAGTGGCTTTACTCACGAGGCATTCTATTTTTATAGTAAATCGACCAGTGTCGTTTTGCTACTGGCATAGTTTTTGGCGTATGGATTAGATCTATTTCATTCTTATTTTAATTTTTAATTTTACTATTTACAACATGTACGTACACTTGGTATACCTGCTACGTGTACATGTATAATAACGCCACGTGATGAGAAAATTCTTAACTAATGTCTACCAGCCAAAAAGTCTTGAGCCCCTAAACAACTTTGCCGAAGACAGCAACTTTCTAGCTGATCAAGATCTCGAGCTATTGAATATGCGAGAAAAGCACGTATATACTAGCGCCGCATAGTGACAAAATTCTGAATTATTGTCACCCAACAAAAAGAGCTTGACTTCCTGAAAAACTTTGCCGAATACATTTATTTTCTATCTGGTCAGGATCTAGAAATATTTTATATGCGACAATTTCACATGTATAGTAGCGCCGCGAACTGAGAAAACTCTGAACTACTGTCCACCTACGAAAAGGCCTTGACCTCCTGAACAACTATGCGGAAGACAGTACCTTTCTATCTGGTGGGAAACTCGAGATATTTTATATGATAATTTTACGTGTATACTAGCGCCACGTAGTGAGCAAATTCTGAACTATTGAGCACCAAGCAAGAAATAGACTTTGACCTCCTGAAAAACTTTGTGAAAGACAGTATCTTTCTATCTGGTCAGGATCTCGAGATATATCACATGGGAGAATTTCACATGTATACTAGCGCTACGTAGTGAGAAAATTCTGAACTACTGTCTGCCAGCGACAAGACTATGATCTCCTGAACAACTTTGTCGTAGGCAGTAATTTTCAACCTGTTCAGAATCTCGAGATATTCCATGTTGTAATCAATTAAGTCAAATCCCACATAGTATGGTCACAGTTTACGTGGTTTCCATTCACATTTTCCCTATTATCAGCATTTTTAGGAGTTTACTGTAATCAAAGTTTAGCTTGTTAAGATCAAAACAAGTTTTTTGAAGAATACTCGTTGGCTTCATATCGATTGGTAACTCAGCAACAAAATGGCAATGGAAAGCTCATGTGTGTTGTACAAAGTACAACAGCGCGAGTAACGGAGGGTTGAAGGGAGCGTTTGATGTGAAAAGTCAGTGAGTAACCAGCTACAAATTTACTATGGCAGCACTGCAATAATTAATTACCTGCTATTTTGGTATCTTTCATTCATTTTTATAACGCCACCAAAATCCCACCATCACTGTAAAATAAAGCTTCCAGCACAACTACAACCACACGAAAAGCGGCTTAAGCTTATACGCAACACCATAAGCACTGTTTTGACTCATACTTTTCCCACTCAGTTCTTCGTGATCAGTCAGTTCACACGTAACCATTCAGCTGGCCGCAGCAACGTACCGTAACGATCGATCGTCGAGGGTGCGCTGCCTTTCGCTCGTCGAGATCTCTCCATTTAGATCCAGAAACGTCAAACTTTGTTTACGCTAGGCTACGATCGAGCTTGCTCAAAGATCGCCAATCCCCCCGTGTTGGTGCTAGGGAAGTGTGTTCTAGTGGTGATAATTGCATGAACCAGCATGGCGACCATCGAAAGTGAAAAGGAAAGTGCTAAATCGAAAGTGCAAGATCAAAAGAAAACCAACGTTGGCAAGCTGAAAGATGGTGCCGTTGTTGCATCCGAGGGGAAGAAAGTGGATTTGTAAGTTTTCTTTGATCCATTTTTGCGGGATTTATGTGTGAAAGAATGATATCCGGGATTAGTTCTTTGAGCAGTTTGAGTTCGAAAAACAGGTATTTCCTACGAACGGAACCATTTAACGGGTCACGATGAAATTTTACACCGAGTAAAAGTGAAAGATGTGCGATCAAATATTTGCTTGACGTTTCCAACAAAGCGCTGCACTTTTACGCAATAGGTGTTGGAAGATGATGCCACGGTGCTTGTACGGCATTTGAATTTGTCAAGGACGTTCGTTCGCAAGATGAATACCGGTTTCGCACCACGCCGCGTTGACATTAACATAAAATGCTCAAACTAGATGAGCGACGCGATCGCGATATTGAATGGAACTAAACACTTAACATGTATTGTAGGAATTGGTGGATCGTGTTCGGTGTGATACTGGCGCTAGCGCTGGGAACGCGATTCTACAATGTTACCGTTCCGGACCACGTCTGCTGGGATGAGACCCATTTTGGGAAGATGGGCAGCTGGTACATCAATCGGACGTTTTTCTTCGATGTCCATCCACCGCTGGGCAAGATGCTGATCGGATTGTCCGGGTACCTGAGCGGGTACGATGGGAAGTATCCATTCGATAAGCCCGGTGACAAGTACAATGGGACGCACTATGAAGGAATGAGAATCGTGAGTGTTTTATTTTATTATTGGAATAACACAAATATCAACTCACCCTCATTCCAGTTCTGCACGGCCCTCGGAGCGGCCATCGTGCCGATGTCCTTCCACACCGTCTGGGACATGACGGGTTCGCTAACGGCGTCCACTTTTGCCGCTGCCTACATCCTGTTCGACATCGGTATGCTCATCCTGAACCGGTACATCCTGCTGGATCCTCCGTTGATCTTCTTCATGACCGCTTCCGTGATGGGAATGGCTCGGGTTACGAAACTCACTCGCCAGCACCGGAGTTTCTCCCGAAGCTGGTGGATTTGGTTGTGCTTTACCGGCTCCATGTTGGCCTGTACGATCAGTGTAAAGTTCGTGGGCCTGTTTGTTGTGCTTCTGGTTGGATTGCACACTGCCAGTGATCTGTGGGATGTCCTCGGGGACCTTTCCCAGCCGATCAGCTACACCGTTAAGCAGTTGATAGCTCGGGCAATTACCTTGATTGTTCTCCCCATCTTCCTGTATGCGACGTTCTTCTACATCCACTTGGCCGTGCTAAATCACACCGGTAGTGGGGATGGATTCTACAGTTCCGGATTCCAATCGAATTTGGTTGGAAACTCACTGTACAACGTATCGATGCCTCGGGAGGTGGCCTACGGAGCGGTTGTAACGTTGAAAAATCATAAAACGGGTGGCGGGTATTTGCACTCGCACAACCACCTGTACCCGAAAGGATTCGGCGCCAAACAGCAGCAAGTAACGACCTACAGCCACAAGGACGAGAACAACAAGTGGTTGATAAAGCCCTACAACAAGCAAACGGTCGATAATGTAACGCTGGTAAAGCACGGCGATTTGATCCGATTCGAACACATTCAGACCAGGCGGAACTTGCACTCACACCGGGACCAGGCTCCCGTTACGAAAAAGCACATGCAAGTTACGTGCTACGGAGAGGTATGTAGCTGGGACACGAACCAACAGCCGGAACGGATGGATAAAAGCTGTGATTATCGTTTTTGTTCGTTTGCAGGAAGGACAAGGTGACAGTAACGACGTCTGGCAGGTGCAGATAATCGGCGGCAAGGATGGTGACATCGTGGAAACTGTGACGAGTCGGTTGATTTTCTACCACTACATTGAACGATGCGTTCTGACGACGACGGGCAAGCAGCTTCCCAAGTGGGGTTTCGAGCAGCAGGAGGTATCGTGCAATCCGAACATTCGGGATCGAAGCGCGGTTTGGAATGTGGAAGATAATCAGTTCGATAAACGTAAGATATAGGTGATAAATTAGTACATTATAAAATAGGTAATCGATTCTTTTGTACTCCAGTTCAAAGCGTAAACTTCCAAGTGTATGCACCGGGATTTCTCAGTAGATTTTTCGAATCCCACGCCGTGATGCTTCAGGGAAATTCCGGCCTCAAACCAAAGGAAGGCGAAGTCACCAGCAGACCGTGGCAATGGCCCATTAATTATAGGGTAAGTTATTTCTGTCCCAACACATTTAATTAAGGTAGATTTCAATCGGAAGCGTTTAGAATTTATTCCGCGAGCAATTAAATTTGAAGTACGAACAGCAACAATTTACATTGTAAATTGAAGTGTACTTTTCTCCCCCTATGAGAAGACGAATTGAAATGTGCACCCTTCTTTCGAGAATCATCCTTCAAGGAGCCGCTGACGAACGAACGCCGTTTGTCGCAAATCAACTGCAGCAAGAGCAGAGTTGCAAGCATCGAAAGCCCTCGAGTGACTGCAATCATGTTATAATAATCGTCATCACCATTCTTGAAAACGTCTTCCCCGGTGTCATCCGCACCTTGGTACCTGGTACTAAACGTCCGACGAACGACAGGTTGCTGCTGCTGGCGGCGTACATATCAAGCGATGATTAAGCGCATAATGCTTTGTCTAAAGATGTGAAATCGCTCGCAACGGCTGCATCTGTACCACCACATTTGCCTCGTTGTTGAGAAGTGTTGGAAAATGCAGCTGCCTCAGCGGTGTTGTGGGTGGTGATTTGCATTGCTTCATATGGCGGGAAAGGGGGAGTACGATTCTATGTCAACACCTCAAGTGGACGCACTTGGTTTGCGGACGCAAATAGAATTCAAGTTGGTCGGTAGGGGTTGAATGTGTGCATATGACCATGAGCAGGTAAAAGTTGTTAGGGTTGTTCTCGGTTGGAGTTGAATCATTTGGATAAACATGTATTGTAAATTCAGAGAAAATTTTGTATTTGGTGTCAGATTACCAGCTTTAACTTAAATTTGATATCTCTCATAACCATATCCGGCGACATATCAAATCACATCTTCTCGACCGAAATATGACCAATGGCACTCAAAACGACAACCATAGAGTCATATGGCCACACGGGAAAAAAAGAGTTCCCATATTCGATTTATCAGGCAGGATTTTGAGTTCAGATGCTATGCTAGAAGTGCTACTTGATAAGACAACAAAAAAGTTACGTAAAAGCCATGAAAAACACAAATGAAAGTCAGCTGGTGCGTTCTGCCCGGGGGGTGCGTTGTATACCATTCTCCCCTATATTTGAGAAAATTTTGTTCTGGATAGCTGGCCGTGATTTTTAGTTCACGGTCCGTTCCCGTTTTCGGGAACGGATTTTTTTTCTAAGCACCGTAGAACCAGCTCTGGATATTCCGGATCATGGTTCCACATGGTAACATTTGATATCTCTCATAACCATATCAAGCGACATACAAAATCATATCTCAACAAGAACATCAAGCTAGTCGATAGAATTTGGACGAGGGCCCCAGGTCAAAGTAAAATCAAGCAGCCCCCCAGGATGAAAGCCTTTCATGTTTCAAGGGGAAAGGGAGGTTGGCGCATCCAATATAATCAAATTCCTTTGTTTATAAGATGTTCTAAGCTCTTCAAATCGTCCAGGAGTTTAGATCATTCAATCTAACAAGGTCCCCAGCACCGAAACATATCCAAGTAGATGCATTGAGTCAATACGCCATGATCGCTTTCTATGTACAGTGTATCTCAAAATTGCACGTACAGATGTCCTTAAATTTTAGAAAAACAACTTTAAAAGCACAATTTAAAGAGATACGTTTCTGAATTTCTGGCTGCTGAATCATCATAAATTTATAAATAATTGGTACAGTGTTGGGCTTATCTGGTTGCGTTTATTAAAAGTAAGAACTATTAGAGAAAAACGCTTTTTCTTGAAAAATTATAATATCTTGAAATATAATTAACTAAACTTTTTCTTTAGTTTTGTTTATTTTTAGTAATAATAAAGATCATTCATATTCCACACATTTTACTAAAATTCGTCCACTAGGTGAAAAGTTGAAAATCGAGCGTTTTACTAAAACAATTCTCACTTCAAACAGGTTCTTCCTTTAAGTCCAAAACTAAAGCGATAAATCAATAAACATCCGTTTAACCACCAACCAAGAATTTAAAAAAATTGTCTACTTTTTTTTTATTATATTTCTATCGTTGGCACTCTTGAGGACCTCCCCTAATGTTGCAAAATAAGTTGACGTTCCGTACCCTTGACGGAAGGCGTGCTGTCGATGGTCTAGAAGGTTTTCAGCTTCAAGGAAATGCTTTAGCCTCCTGTTGAACATTCGCTCCAGAACCTTGGCCATACAGCTTGTCAAGGCTATTGGCTGGAACTTGCTAGCTTCACGGGTTGTTTCATTGGCTTTTGGGATGGGGATGACTAAGCTCTCTTTCCACGACGCTGGATACGAGTTGATGAGCCAGAGCTTGTTGAAAAGCTCCAGCATCCGTTGCTGGCCTGGCGTTGGTAACCTCTTGAGTAGAGGGTACCCGATTTCGTCGGGATCCGCCGACTTTCCGTTGCTGCAATTCCTGCCAGGAGAATGCCTGGTTGATGTCCGAGTTTCCAGCGTCAGAAGAAACAGAAAAACTTGCAATGGATGACGTCGAAGGCTTAGCTTTCCGCTTGAATTCGTCTTCGTACTTCTCGATGGCTGCGATACCGCCGAGTTCGTCCGCTACAATTGCAGGGTCAGAAACAGCTTCACCGTTAATCTCTACGTGGAGCGGTGTCATGCGCCGTTTCCCACTGAGGGCGTTGACTTGCCTCCATAAGTCGGCCGAAGACTGTGATGAATTCATTCCTTCCAGAGAGACGCGGGTTTCTTGCCGGCATTGATTGTGCGACTCATGGTAGTGACGGAGAGCGTCCACGCGATCGGGATGTCCGATAGGAAGGCGCTTTACACGGCGAAGTGCTTTACGCCGGGCTTTAACGGCTTTCCTCGTATCTTCATTCCACCAACGTAGTGCTTTTCGCCCCGGAACGCTGCTGGTCTTTGGGATGGTTGCTGTTGCTGCTTCGTATACCACTTCTGAAAAGTCTTCAATGCTGTTCGGATTACGCTGTAGTAACAAGGACTGAAAGGCTTCACCATAGCTATCCCAGTCCACTTGTTCATAGCGCCATCGGGGCCTCCGTGTTGTCATCGGGAAGATGGCGGTCGAAATTTGAACTTTGATGGGGTAGTGGTCACTACCATAGAGATCAGTGTTCGCGCTCCACTGAATTTTTCCGGCAAAGCAGCGGCTGACAGCAGAGACGTCGATGGCAGAAGTATGCCGCCCGTTAAAGTACGTGGGCACACCGTCATTCAGAATCACCATGTCTTCCTTCTCGAAAATATCGACCTGGGTAACACCTCGAGGGTCGGAGCGGGGGCAGCCCCAGATTGGGTGGTGCCCGTTCAGATCTCCAACCAGGATGCGCGGTTCCGGTAGTTTAGCTATGGCTTCGCTGAGTTGATCGTGCAGGTTTGGCAGCCGTCCGCATGGCAGGTATGCACATGCGACGGAGATGTTCGCCGGTGCCGCCAGCTGGACACCAAGTATGGGAAGCTCGGAGTCCATATCGACAACCTTGAAAGGTATCGTCTTCAAAACCCCGATGGCCACGGAGTGCCGGAAGTTGTTTCCCCGTTTAGCTGTCCACGTATACTTACCGCCTAGAGAGCGGTTCATTTGGTCTGTTGTCGTTTTGTTAGTTTCCTGGAGTGCAATGACCCAGGGGGGGATCGTCGTGGCAAAGGAGCTCTAGATCACCAATGTGGTTCAGGAACCCGTTAATGTTCTACTGCAGGATAAAGTTTACTGGCTTAGGCAAGGTAGGAGTGGGGTACGAGCGCGCTGTGATTGTGGAGCTAGTGTCATCGCGACGGTGACTGCCACTCTGGTCGACGGGTAGATCTATATCGTAGGTGTCCGATCCATCGTGATAGTCGAAGCCAGCTGACAGATTGATGTTGTATGCTGAATGAGACAGAGCCCCACCAAGGGCAGGTGTAGAAGTTCCACCCACCCAGGGCAGGGATGACCCAACAGAGAGAGGAGAGGTATTACATGATGGCGTACTGGGCTTGGCAGCTTCGGTCGTTGTTATAGCAGCGTGTTCGAGTCCCACGAAGTCCTTCGGGGAATGGGTCGATGAGCCCTTGTCCGTCCCGATACTTGAAGCAGACTTGACTCCCTCGTCGTCCATAGGGGGATGAGCGTTTCCGCCCTTGTGCGTCCCTCTTCCAGACATCCCCCGGCGAAGGGGGGTTATCGTCAGTTCCGGTGTGGAAATGGCGTCCGCACCGACGGGGCTATCGCTGGGCTCTTCTTTGGTTTCTTCGTCCGCGGGCCGCAGAGGTGATCCGGCAGTTCCGGTGGGGTTATGACGTCCGCACTGCCGGTGCCCTGCGTGCCTGAAGCACTCGTTAATTCGACTGGTTGACGGTGGCTGGCAGTTGATGGAGGTGTTGAGGTGACCATTAGAGTTGTCAAGTTGAATAGCGAGGGTCGAGGTGCCGTTCAAAGTAGTCAGCGTATAACGTACTACTTCCACTTTTCTTTCATTTGCGTGGCTTTTCCGGAGAGACTGGCGAGGTACGGGCGAGAGTCGATCTTTGGATTTTGAGAGCTTGGGCTATGCGAGGGGGGTGACCAGGAGGGTCTAGCTGGCTGATGGGTCGCTTCGATGATTGCGGTGTTGAGGGCTGTTCAATGGATGTAGCGGGAGTCGATGGCATGGGGGTATCTTGTTTGCGGCTGGTTTTTAGGTTTGGGCTGTTTTCTGGCGTGATGGTGGCATCGCTGCTGGATCCCGACGAGATCGAGCCATCACTTAAGACGGTGATGGAATCGTCTGCTCTCTCGGGAGCTTTCTGCGACACGGGCTGAACTTTCTCCGGGGTGGTCCGCGAAGGTAATGACGGGACTGAAGGTAGGACGACGCTCAATTTTGCGATACACTGTATATCAGATGTTCTAGGTTCTCCAGATCATCCTAGAGTTCACATCCACTGAAACAATGTCAATAGCATCGAAACATGTCCAAGCTTATTCATAGAGTCTATACGTACCATTTGGGATCCATTTCCATGTATATAAGATGTGCTAGGTTGAACAAACGATGAAGCTCCCCAAGTAACCAAAAGTTCCGCTTTCAA